GTGAAACTACTCAATAAAAAAAAATAAAAATATTGACACTAAAACTAAGGATATTCTATCTATTATTTCAGTTAGTTTTAGTTACTTTTGTAAAAAGGTTATACAGTTTTAGTTAGTTATCGTTTTTTTATTTTATTACAGTTTTTATTTATTTTATTTAACTAAAATGGTTTTTCAGTTTCAGTTTTTGTTATTTAGTTAGTTTTACTAAACTACAAAAACCCTGCTGAGTGTGTAGGGTTATAAAATTTTGTTCAAATCAACAACTGTAAATTTCTTGAGATTAGAGCCATTTTAAAATGACGGCTATCGACTCAGGCTTTTGGCCAAACTATTAAATTCAACTGATAAGATACAACTTCCACAGAACTCGACTATAAAAATCTGAACATAATCAGCATTTAAACATGGAGATGAAACAGAMAAACACTGAGGTCTTTTAAACCTACACGCTTGATTATTTTACATCTTGAAATTACATCAGTGTATCTGGATTTGTGCAACAAGAAAACAAAAAATAMATAAACCCTCAGAGGTGCTCCAAGTCTGCCTGATGTGGATCTGTGTGTTAGCTGGTTCTCAACATGTTCACTCTAACTCTGTTCCAGTGGAGGGCATAGATCCAACATACCAGCCTGAGTCTCAGAACCGGCGCTCTGCTCTTCATGCTGCAGCTCAGAGAGGTCTGCTGGAGGTCTGCTACATGCTGGTTCAGGTAAAAGCTTCCGTCGACGCGATCACGTTTTAACCCTCCCACTGCGAGATACGTTAACGCCCATTTTTTTTCTCTCTTCATCGATCTGGGTTTTTGTTTTTAGGCSGGCGCCAACGTGGACGCCAAAGACAAAGACCAGAGGACCCCCCTGCTGGAAGCCATCATCAATAACCACATCGACGTGGCTCGGTACCTGATCCAGAGCGGCGCCTGCGTCTATCATGTGGTGAGTGCCTGAAAGCGTCAACATTTCCGTTAAACCCGTCCGACGTCTTGACCTTTTTTTTTTTGTCAGGAGGACGACGGGTACACCGGCCTTCATCACGCTGCCAAGTTCGGAAGCTTGGAAATCGTCAAAATGCTTCTGGAGACGGGGCAGGTGGACGTGAACGCTCAGGTGGGAGAAGAGACGCTCAGGATGCAGGATTGTCGCTCTGCGGTGTTTTCAGCACGTTGGAACAAGGATCGGTTGTTTTTGGGTGTTTTTAGGACAGCGGTGGCTGGACGCCCATCATCTGGGCCGCGGAGCACAAACATGTCAACGTGATTAAAACGCTGCTGAACAGAGGAGCTGACGTCACCATCAACGACAAGGTGAGTTCATACAGCTAACGTGTCTAATGTCTCTGTTAGTAAAATATCTTATGACCCAATGGGTTGATTTGACTTGTATCTGCTCTCTTTCCCTCTTGTTTTTTTTTCACCTTACGTTCTGTGGTGACTGCTTTATAAGATGTAATAAGAAAATATAAAGTTAATGTTACATCCTTTGTTCCGAGGCCTGATGAAGTGCCATCATTATTTTATGAAGCTAAATAAAAAAAAATTGAAATTGAATGCATTGTTTTGAAAATAAATTTCACTAAATTGAAACTGAATTTAAAGTTTTGTATCTGAATTAATTTGCTTTGAAACTGTATTTTGGTTTATAAAAAGTCCAATTTGACTACTTTCACTTTCAGTTCCATAATTCAGACATTTGTGTCACATCCTGGTCCTTGAGAAAGCCAGCCAGAGTAATCAAACACAGATCTACAGATTTATGTTTCACTTTGGTGAAGTTTCCCTTCTGTATGTAACAGAGTTGATGCAATCCACTGTAAAAGTGACAAAAACAGACAGTTACTTTATTTTAGTGATTAATTTTACTTATATGTAGAAAATGTTACTGTTGTGGAATACTTATTATGTATCACCTTGACACTGTCCATTGTTCATATCTCATGATATCATCTGAACGTCATCTTCAAGCTGACCTACTTCATGTACCAGAACGAGGCAGATTCTGATTGGTTGTTCATTCTCACACGATGTTAGATGACAGAATGCTGTATATGAGGCCTCTCGAGACACAGTGTGCAAC